AAAAAACAAAACAAAAAAAACAAACAAAAAAAAAAAAAAAAAAGGACTGTAAACAGGGCATTCCTAGAAACAATGTTTTGGCTAGAAATAATTCCAATATAATGCCCCTCCCTTCTGGATTATGCAGAAGGTGTGGCAAAGGCAGACATTGGACTAATGAATGTAGATCAACAAGGGACAGACGAGGTAATCCTTTCTGTTCAGTCCTTTCCTGTCACCATGGAAAAAAAATCTTTCCTAGAGTAATTAAAGAACCTAATGCCTATTGTAAAAACAAACAAAAAAACAAACAAAACCCAAAAAAACAAAAAAAATATAGCAGGAAGTAGCCTATAAAACTACACCCACATTCCCCAAAAAATGGATTATGGATGTTTGTCTTTGTTTAGGGGGTGGTTAAAAATTGTTATTGGTCATAGTCAATCTCTTTGTAAAAGAAGAGAGAAATTATATAGAAATGTATTATACAGAAATGATTGGGCTGGGCAGTAGTGTTACATGCCTTTCATCCCAGCACTTGGGAGGCAGAGGCAGGTGGATCTCTGTGAGTTTGAGGCCAGCCTGGGCTACAGAGCTAGATCCAGGAAAGGTGCAAAGCTACATAGAGAAACCCTGTCTTAAGGGAAAAAAAAAAAGAAAGAAAAGAAATGATCAGATAAAAAGGTAGATTATTGAATCTACTCTGAAAAGATAAAAAGAGGATATAGATATAGGATAAAAGATTACTTAATCTACTCTGAAAAGAAGAGATATAGAAATAATAAGATTAAAGGGTACATTTTTTAATTTACTCTGAAAAGAAAAAAGGGAGGATATGGATATGATAATATAAAAAGGTAGATTATTGAATCAACTTTTAAAAAGCAACTACTAGTTTTAAATATTTTACATTGGATTGGAATTTTGTATATTGTATATAAATTTTGTATATTGATATATTGCTGTGATACAAATTTGAGATTATTTTTGTTAGAACATACTGTAGATACACTTATACTCTTGTTCAAGATATTGCATCTATACAATTCATTTAACAATGTAATGAAATTTTCTAGTCCTCGAAAGTTATTATTACCAATTAGGATATAAAAAAAAAATGCAAGTTAGTAGTTAGTTACCTATTACAACTGAACTTGTAGTCATATTAGGTATGTTTTCAAGGTCAAACAGAAATATATTTTAGATAGACAGGTCATCTTCAAACACTTCAAAGATCTACAGAATATGGCATTAAAGATGTTTTAATAACAGATTTTTTTTAAATGACTACGAGACATGTCTGCTCCTAGAAGCACCAATCTACTTCAGAGAAGATGATGGGCATCAAAGAAACTCCATATGGAGTTTCCTTTCTTTGTGGCAAAAGCTAGCCACTGTGCTGTGGATATTACTCTATATAAATAAAACACTGATGGCCAGTGACCAGGCAGGAAGTATAGGCGGGACAAAGAGAAAGGAGAATTGGGGAAACAGGAAGAAGGAGGGGAGACACTGCAGCCACCGCCAGGACAAGCAGCATGTAAAGACTCTGGTAAGCCACCAGCCACATGGCAAGGTATAGATTTATAAAAATGGGTTAATTTAAGATATAAGAACAGTTAGCAAGAAGCCTGCCATGGCCATACATTTTATAAGTGATATAAGCGTCTGAGTGATTATTTTATAAGTGGATTGTGGGACTGCGGGGCTTGGGGAACCTGGAGAGAAGCCCTCCAGCAACACCACTGGGCAATAAAGTGACTTTGCCTTGACTGCTGACAGTATGCTGTCCAAAATGGACAAGCAGGACACAAAAGTAAAGGACTGCCAAACCTTTCCAAGACAAGGCAGGAAGGCCCTTTACAAAATCCCGCTTCACAGATGAGTCTGTCAGGACATGCTAGGCCTATAGGCTGAAGATGGATGCCCCAACATTGCAGAGGAACCTCGGATGATTGTCCAGGCAGCCAGCTGTTTCTGTCATTTCTCATATTTGGAAGTTGCTTGTTTGTTCTTCCTGCTTACTTAGGTAATTTTATTTCCTTCTCGGCTCTCTGAGGGAATTAAAGACTAGATAGTTATAGTTTTCCTTGTTAACAAATTTAGAAAAGAAACTCACTAAATAGGTATAATGTGTATAAGTTTGAAAGACATCAAAAGATAGTTTTCAGTTGGTAATACAAGTTAGGATAGAAAGTGAATTAGGTACATTTGGACTCATCAAAATGTTGTAGATAATGGAGTATTTTCTCTGAATCTGTCAAATGTTAATGGACTGGACATTATTAATGTAATTCTTGAGTTATATATTGTATAACTTATTGTACTTATAGTTTTCTTATATTAGTTATGATCTTTTTATTATTTTAGACAAAAAGGGGAAATGTGATATATTGTGTACCCTAATAAAATTTACCTGAAGATCAGAGGACAGAACAAGCCACTAGATTAAACATAGAGGCCAAGCAGTGGTGGCACACACCTTTAATCCTAGCACTTGGGAGGCAGAGATCGTATGGATCTCTGAGTTTAAAGCCACACTTGACTACATGAGATTGACTCAGTCTAGGAGAGAAACAGAGCCAGGTAGTGATGGCACATACCTTTAATACCAGTACTTAGGAAGCACACACGCCTTTAATGGATGGGTGGAGAAATGTATATAAGGCATGAGGAGAGCCTTTTAGGCTGAAGCCCTTTCAGGCTGAGGAGTTGGTGAAGTAAGAGGTGGTAGCTGTGACTTGCTCTGCTTCTCTGATCTTCAGCAAATTTCATT